CGTGTCTGCCCTTTGTGACTGGCTTATCAGCATGGTGGCCGCCCGCCTGGCTGCAGTGTGTCAGCGCGCCCTTCCTTCCCAGGTGGAAACCTCCCTGTCTGTCCTCCGCCCCCTCCGTCCCTGCTTTCAGTTCTGTGACCACGCGGCAGTCCTGTTAAATGTACCAGGAGACGCAGGTGCACGTAGTTTTACTTTAGACAGGGTCTCACCGAGTTGCCCCGGGTGGCCTTGGCCTGTGGTCCTCCCGCCTCAGCCCCAGGTAGGTGTGCTGACAGCCACTGCAAAAACCAGGCCTGTCCATATTTTTTAAAAGGATCAAAGGCCACGTCGTCCTTGGTGGGGACAAATGAGGTTTTAGCCTTTTTTCTTCCCTTTTGTGTCTACAACTGGTAACTGATTTTGGTAATTCTTTTTTTAGTATTTACTTTTTGGTTGTAGTTGCACACAATACCTTGACTTAACATTAAGTGTTTTTTTTTGGGGTGCCAGGGGTGGAACCAGGGCTCTGCCCCTGCTGGGTGAGAGCCTTACCACTGAGCCCCAGCCCAGCCCCTGGTCATTCTTTACAGTAGGGAAGAACTCACGGGAAACTCGCGTGGAGGCCTGTCCCCCACCTGCCAAAGGAGGAGCCGGGCAGGGCGGGCCGCGAGCAGACACGGTCTCTGTGCCTGAGGAGCCTCTGGGGACTGGCCACCCTCCAGGATGGGGGCCACCTCAGTCCCTTCCTGCTTTGTTCATCCATTCAGTTCTCTCCAGGGTCCCCTGCTCGTCAGCTGGCTGCTCCTCCCCATTCTGTGGGTGACACAGGTGTCAGACAGGACCCTTCTCCCCTAACCCTGGAGGGTCCACATCCTGTCCAGCTGTCAGGTGACTCCACCCCAGCTGGGCAGAGGTGCCGGCCCTGCCCTGCCCTGCAGTACCCCTCAGCTGGGGCCCCCCTGGACCGCCAGGGCTGCTCTCTGGAGCACACAAGGGAGGGGGCTCCAGGACACTCCCACCGCCTGTCCCAGCGCTCCTCAGATGTCCCTCCCCAGCAGGACTCAGAGCCAAACAGGTTGGGGGGTGGGGGCAGATGGACCCACAGGGGGAGGCCCAGGGGCCCACTGCCCACACCCCAGCTGCTCCCTCTTGGCATTGCACCCAGCCCCCACCTCAGCAAGTTGGGATCCCGGCAGGAGAGGGGGCTGGGGTCACTGGGGCAGATGGGCCATTTTGGTGAGCAGTGGGTAGAGAGGGCCAGGCTGGTGGACCGGGCCTCCTGGGATCCTTCCTGGCAGGGTGGTGAGGCATGAAGAGGGCTCACCCTTATGCCAAGGAGGGGAGGTGTCCTGGGCAGCAGCGCTGTTTGTCACTGGGTCCTCAAGACCTGGTGAGGTGGCACCTGTGCTTCAAGGCTCCAGGCAGGGGGCTCAGGGAGCCCGAGATGGGAGTCACCCCCGGGGCCTAGCCCCGGTGACTGAAACCAGGTGGGGCAGGCCTACCCGCCTCCCGCCCTGGGCCTCTCACTTTCCTCAGGCTGCGGCTGGGAGGAGAGGCCCAGGGAGGGCTGAGTCACAGTCCCTGGCTTGGGCCACATGACTCCGGCCCCCAGGTTCCTGTGTGAGCAGCTGGGCCCGAGCAGTAGACGCAGGGTGCCCTGGCAATCCCAGGAGACTTCCTGGAGGAGGAGGAGGAGAGCAGGGGTCCTGGCAGCAGGGGAACAGGAGACTTTCCTCAAGCCGCCCACAGGAAGAGGTGGAATCCCGCCCCAGCACCATGACACACAGCTTCCTCACAGGCCCCAGACTGCCCTGCTGGTTGGGGAGTGCCTGAGGGCTGGTCTCGTCACCACGGGGAAGTGACCTCACTCGGGAGTTTCAAAGAGGTGTCCCCATTCCGCCCACTGCTGGGCTCCAGCACCAAGGGGCCAGGGAGCTGGGCAGGACAGTGAGTGTCCAGGCCGGATGTTTGGGGACCCAGTCTGACCTGCCGCTGCCTGTGGTGGAGGCCCTCTGCCCAGGCTCTGGGAATCCCGGATGCAGCCCTCAGATAGATATTAGTAAACTTGGCTGGGACTGACGCCGCCTGACCCCACCAAGTGAGGCAGAGCCAGCACGGCCCGTCCAGGTCTCAGCCACAGGGGCAGGAGACTGCAGGGGGCGCAGAACGGGCCTCGGAATGCTGTGTGGTCCTGACTGGGTTGCTTCACCTCTCTGAGTACCACTCCTGAGTACACATCTCCCTCTCCAGCACCTGCCTGGCCTAGAGCCCTGGCAGACACAGCTTCCGGGAGGCAGCCCAGATCCACACCAGGGCCCTGTGGCCAGCAGGAAGTTGGTGGGTCCTGGTCTCCAACTACTGAAGGACCTCTGGGCTCTGGCCTGTCAAACAGCCTGCGAGGCTCCCAAGGTCCTCACTCGGGTTCCTACACGGAGCTTTGCCCCCTCCGCATCCCTATCCCCAAAAGCCTGAGAAACAGGGTCCACAGTCCCCATGCTCCAGAGAGGGCCCTGAGGTGGCCCACCTGGGGCATGGGACGGGGCCTGGTGGCAGTGTGACCGTGCATGCTGCTGCTCCTGTTTGAGCATTTGTAAGGGGGTAACTGCTCCCAGGGTGTCACTGAGGTGGAGGTTGGCAGCAGCTCCCAAGGTCCTAAGCAGAGGGCTTTGGCCAGGCAGGAGCCCAGGTCATCAGCAGTGGGGGTCCTCGGGCTTCTGGGTGGGGCTGTTGACGGTGGGCCCGGCCTCGGCCTGCCCCGAGTCCATCAGGAGCGACACACCCTACCTGGTCTGGACTGTGCAGAGAGCCGAGGGGCCTGGGCTGGGCTGGCAGGAAGCCCGGAGAGGCCCCCACCAGGCCTCACGCCCTGCCCCACGCTGGTCCCTGTCCAGTGGGGGTGAGGTTCCCTGAGAGTGCAGGGCTCGGGCGAGAGGAGCAGGGGCCCGCAGCAAGCAGGGCGGCTTCTCGCACTGGCCTCCTGGGGCCCCAGCGTCTCCCCAGCCAGGCTTTTTCACCTAGAGGGTAGAACACCCACTTCAGGTGTTCCCTGGCTAGTGGGTGGCGGCTGGGAATCGTGCCCAGCACACTGGTACCACCTGGCCTTGGGGTCTCCTCAGGACTTCCAGCAGAGTCCTCCAAGCTGTCCTCTCCGTCCCATGGTCCCCTGCCACCTGTTCCCATGTGTGCCATGCCCCTGCTGGCACCTGCAGTGAAGTGGGTCTCCCCTCCCCTCTCCTCTGGGGTCCCAGCACCAGCCAGGCCCGTAGGTGCTCAAGCAATGCCAGGTGCCTGGGGGGCCCAGGGCCGAGGCTCCACTGGCTGGTTCTGGGAGGGGGAGGTGAGCTGGGGGGCTCTGTTGGGTCTGGGGGTTCCAGGCAGGGCACTGGGCACCTGTGGGCTTGCAGTGACTCTGCCTCTCGTCCCTTCCCCTACCTCCCACTTCCCAGAGGAGACTCTTGCCCAGCCTGTCTGCTCGCAGCCCACGACCTGCACAGGACAGAGCAGGACAGTGACCAGGCTGCTGGGGGAGGGCCCAGGGAGAGTCCACAGCCTCCTGAGGTCTCCCCTAGCATGATCCTGTGTTACCCCCGCCCACCTGCGGCTGACCAGTCAGCCGGGATGCCTGCAGGGATGGGGAGCTCACTCCCTATTAATGGAGGGACCTGCGGGGGAATCTCTTCTCACTCACCCCTCTGGCCTGCTCACCCCACAGGTCACAGGCAGGACCAGATGCCTGGCCACGAGTCCTTATGCTGATGTTCTCCACAGGCCAGAATCCTGGGCGCCCCACTCTGGGTCCACCCCCCTGGCCCTCCCACACCCACCCCACCTGGCCATGCTCCTGGCCCTCTGTGCCTGCCCAGCTCCTTTAACTCCTCAAAGTGACCCTGAGGGCCCGATCCTGGACTGTGCTCTGGGAGGTTAAGGGGCTTGTCCAGGACACGCAGGGTGGGGCAGGGTGGGTCCAGGAACTTGGTTGTGTGCTCTGTTATCACTTCTGAACTTTGTAGTGTCCTGAACCAAGGGCCGGCCTTTCACTTTTGCCAGTCTTGCAGAGGAGGAAGCTGGGGAGGCTGTTCCCAGCCTCAGTGTGGGACTTCCGGGCAGCACCCCTGCCAGGACTGCCCCTGGTGGGGGCCCTGGAACAGCCTGGCACCCCCACCCCCACCCCTGGGAACCGGGAGCTGGCCTTGGCTTCCTGCTCCTATTAAGCCCTTTAAAGGAAGACGATAAATGACAGCCTGGCTGCCCGGCTGGGAGGCGATGACGCAGCCGCCCCCGTGGCCCCTGGCGGTCAGGCTGGTCCCGTGGGCATATCCCTGCTGGCCGCCACCCCCTATACCCCCCTGGCCTCTCTCCGGTCTGGGCTGCATCATCCCTGCCAGAGTCCTCTCCCAGCTGGGGACACACACGGGCCCACGGAGGAGGGTAAATGCCTTCCTCCTGCCGGTTGCTGAACCCTTCCCATGTGCTGCCTGAGCTAATAACGGTCACTGTCCCCATTTGACAGAAGGGAAACAGGCTCAGGGGGAAGTCCAAGCGCAGTCCCTGGGTGCCAAGATGGTCAATAAGGCCTGCTGGGGCAGGGCCATTTTTGGAGAGCGTCTGGGGTGACCCCGAAAGCGACCCCGAGAGGCGCCGCGACCCAGAGCTCTGGAACGGCAGGGCCAGATCTCGGGTCGCCTGGGCGAACGGGTCCCAGGCCTACTGTCCCCCTTCCCGGACTAGTCCAGGGCCCGCGGGCGCTTCCCGGCGGTGAGTCACCGCGGGCACGGCCGGCTGCAGCGCATTCCTCCGCGGGGCCGGCGCCCGGGTGGGGTGGAGATCGCGAGTCACCCTACCGGGCCGGGCAGCTGGGACGTCAGGAGCAGGAGAGGCTGGGGCAGGGACGCGGAGGCCAGCCCCGGAAGGCCGGCGGGGTGGGCCCAGGGCGTGGCCGGCGGGGGCGTGACGCGGGGCGGGGCCGGCCGCGGGGCGGGGCCTACATAAGCGCCGCGCCGGGCCGCGAGGCGCACAGCCGGCGCCGCCACCGCCCGAGCGCTCGCCCGACATGAAGACCCCCGGCGAGGTGCTGCGCGAGGGCGAGCTGGAGAAGCGCAGCGACAGCCTGTTCCAGCTGTGGAAGAAGAAGCGCGGCGTGCTCACCCCCGACCGCCTGCGCCTCTTCCCCGCCGGGCCCGGCGCGCGCCCCAAGGAGCTGCGCTTCCACTCCATCCTCAAGGTGGACTGCGTGGAGCGCACGGGCAAGTACGTCTACTTCACCATCGTCACCACCGACCGCAAGGAGATCGACTTCCGCTGCGCCGGCGAGAGCTGCTGGAACGCGGCCATCACTCTGGCGCTTATCGACTTCCAGAACCGCCGCGCCCTGGAGGACTTCCGCAGCCGCCAGGAGCGCGCCGCGCCCGCCGCGCAGCCCGAGCCCGGCTCGGCCCGTGCGCCCTGAGCCCGCGCCGCGGTGAGTGTCGCCCGCGCGTCCCGGGCGGCGTCGGGCCGGGGTCTCCGGGGAGCCCCCGGGGTGGGGGCCCTGACCCTCAGCCGGAGACCCGCGCCCTTGGGAAAACTCCAACTTCCGATTCCGGAGGGAGGTTTTGCTACCTCGGGGACCTGGCACCGCACAACCACGGCGTCTCGGGTGCGCGGCAGGAGCCGTCCCTTGCCCCACTCGCGTCAGGATCTCGGGGACCCACAAGCTGCGCCCCGACTCGCTCTGGCACGCCTGCCTGACCCAGCCCTCTCCCCACAGAGCCACACCGGACCCGTCTGGCCGAACCGGCCGCATGGCCGTGTTGGGCAGGAGCCCAAGGGGTGCCCGGGACGGCGGGAGCTCGGGCGGGCGGTACACCCGCTGACCACGCGAGGACAAGGCGCCGCTTTCCTGCCCCATAGAGGAGGACGTTCCCGTGCGTGCGGAACCTCGCCCCGCTGCGCGGGCGCATTAACTTATTGGACTATCTATTTATTTTGATGTTATTTGTTGTCAAACGTTCTGTCTTTAATATTTTGTTTTTGCAACCAAGTGCCCATTCCAAATAAATGACATGACTTATTCTTTTTCTACCAGCCAGTCGTGGGCACGTTCCTGCTGGGAGGGTGGAGGGAAGGGCTGCAGTCCCGGCCCTGGCCAGCCAGAAGACAGGAAAGTAGCTTTGAATGAACATTGTCATTGCTGGGTGGGGTCCAAAGCCTCCCCAGAGGCCAGGAAATGCCTTGGGTGTGGCCCTGGCTACCCTCTACTCCTGGGTGTGGTGTGAGGATAAGACTGGTGGCTATGCCTGCCGTGGGAGTCCACTCACTGCCTGTCCCCAAAGCCAGTGCACCTCCCCCAGACCTGAGCTGCTGCTGTCCAGGGAGGGGCGGCTGTCCTCAACTGCCTCCTCTTGCCCACACACCACCTGTCCAGTGGCCAGCCAACAGGAAGGCCTTCTGGCTGCCTGCCCCAATGCACTCCCCTTGACCCCACCCTGGGCCCGACCATGATGGCTCTAGAGTCCAGCTGCCAGTCCTCCTGGCCAGTGCCTGAGACATGGGGCCAGCAGGTGGGGATCGTGTTCCCAGGCCATCTCCGAGGTGGGGCAGGCTGGCCCAGGACTGACTTGGGTGGGAGCCCTGAGAGCCCACTCCCAGGGATACCTGTCGGGCTGTAACTCCTCCCTTTGCACCTGGCTGTGTCCTCTATGAAATAGACGCAGAGAATCGGTGCCACCTGGCCCCTGGCCGGCAGGGCACGGGAAGTGGGTCACCTTCCCGTAAGATCGAGGGGTAGAGGAAGAGGGAAGAGACGCCAGCTGTTCCCAGGCTGGGGGGCTGCCTGGTGAAGGGCAGGGTGAGGGAGTGGAGGACCAGAACTGAGCCCTAATGCCTGCCGCTGACCCTCCATGTGGAGAGGGTCTCAGGCTTCTCAGGGGACCAGAACTAGGGAGGGGCTGTCCGTTTGCTGAGTGGCCTGCAAGAGTCTTGGGTGCTGGCTCCAGAGAGGAAATTATTATTCCTTGTGAGGAATTTTCTCCTGAGTATGTCTTTGGGAGGAGTTCCAAAGGGCTAACAAGAGCACAGGGACCTCACAATGACTGTGTCCCAGCCCCCCAAGATGTCTCCCACACAGCCTCACCTGGAGGAGTGACCAAGCTCAGGAGGTGAGCCCTGTGCGGGGCAGGGTTCAGGCAGGCACGGGGTCCAGCTGGGAGTGGGTGATCTGAGGTGATCTCCCTGAGGGCGCTCCCAGTGTGGGGACTTTGGAATTCTGAGGTTCGGGTTTTCAGGTTTTAATGGCTTTTTTTTTCAAAAGCCTGTGGGACAGTGGGCCTGTATGGTCTCAGTAGCATCTCAGTCTCCTGTCCTGGTGGTGGTCTTCAAATTGGTCAACTGGTCTCCACAGCAGCGCTGGCCTCCCCACACCAATGTCTGTTATCCCAGGAGGTGTGGGGCAGGTGGTGAGAGTGGGGGTGCTGTTCCCTTGGTCTCTCCCTCCTGGCCTAGGGCAAGTGGCCAGGAATGCCCCCCAGTGGGGGTCTTGGGGAGATGGGCTAGCCCAGCGTCTGTGGTGCAGTTCCGGAGCTGGGGGAATTGGGAGACCACTGGGGGCTCCCTAACACATATCCTTTCCAAGACTTGTTTCCTTGATCTTTTCTTTTGTTTTTTTAAATTTTTTTGCCTACTGTATGTACTCAAATACCCCCAAGTACCCCTGTTCTACAGGTTGCATGTAGTTACTTCTGTCCAAGTGCACTGCTCCGGAAAATTAGGTGTGTGGGGTTTTTTGTTTTTTTGGTACAACGGATGGAACCTGTGGGTGCTTTAACCCTGAGCTGCATCTCCAACCATTTTTATTTTTGAGACAGCGTCTCAGTAAGTTGCTTAGGGCCTCACTAAGTTGCTGAGGCTGGCCTCGACCTTGTGATCCTCCTGCTTCAGCCTCCCAAGCCACCGGGACAGATGTGCACCTCTGTGCCTGGCATTCTTCCCTCTAAGCCACTCACTTGAGCTCCTGGTGCTACACTGCAGGCCGGGTGGGCAGAGAGCTCCCTGCCTCTGGGAAATGAGAGCCGGCTGAGCGGCAGCAGGGCATTCCCCACCGGCTGCGCTGGTGGACTCCATGGCTGGACGAATGCCCTGGGAGGAACTGGGGTTATCCTGTGCCTGGAACTCGGGGGTCAGCTGCAGGCCCCTCCCCTGGGCAGCATTTCGGCCTCTGAAGCTCCCTTGCTCGCCCCCCACTTCCGCTGACAGACGCAGGCGGGAGCCCACAGGAATCAGGCCATAAGGAGGTCCCAGGAAAGTTTATTGCCGGGGCTGGTCACCAGGCTTTGTCCCTTTTGTGTGTCATGGGCTTCCTCCAGAGGACCAGGAGGAGGAAGAAGTTGACAGCAAACTGCACATGGCCAAAGATGGGGACTCCAAAGCTGCGGTACAGGAGGCCACCCAGAGTGGGCCCCAGGGTGCGGGTCAGTGGCTGCACAGAGGCACAGAGGCCCAGCATGGTCCCTGGGGAAAGAGGAGACAGCCGTCACGCCCTGAGCAGGTCCCTGGACAGGCACATCACTGCCTGGGCACAGCCCACTCCTGTCCCCAGACACTCCTAGCTCCAGGCCCAGCCAGTCTCCACGCAGCACAGGAGGCCTGGGCTACCCCATATCACCCGCCCTGCGTCCCCACCCGGGGCCTCCACCTGCTCCTCACCTCCACCCACGGGCCTGTGGACCCCAGGGGCCTCACAGGCGCCTCCCCAGATATGGGGCTGAGTCTTCTCTACTCGAGAAAGTTCCCTGGTGCGGGAGGAGCTGAGGATGGGCCCCAGGTCAGGTGCAGGCTCCACCCCCCAGGCCTGCCCAGGGGGATGGCATCTGCACCTGGCCAGCCCCGCCCAGAACATCCGGGAGCTCTCTCACCGCTCCTTCCCAGGGCCTGGGCTGCCGGGCCAGGCCCACTGGTGGCTGGAGTGGGCTGAGTGGGCTGGCTGGGCAGGGTCTTCTAAGACACCATGGGGCTCGGGCCAGGGTTCTGGGTGGGCACAACACCCCAGTGCCATCCCACAGCCCCTCCTGACCTGCCTCTTCTCCCACTGTCCGCCCCCAGGAATCTCCTAGACACCCTGTGGACTCCCCTTGGGGCAGGGGAGGGACTTCAGGGAGTACAGCAGGACCCAGGGACAATGAGCACCCTTCTGGCTCCCCGCTGCCCGAGCCCCCACCTGAGCAGCCAGCTCTTTCACCTGTTGCCAGGTCTCCACGCCCTCTGGGCGCTGTCCCAGTGTGGACATGCCTAGGATGGCTGCTGTCCACCCTCCGACAGCATTCGGCCCCCGAAACTCCCCTCCCAGGCCTGCAGGGTCCCGGGTCCCAGTCCCAGGGGTGGTACGTCCGCTCCCCACTGCCCAGAGGGGCTCTGGCCCTGGGCTTCTGAACCCAGGCCCCTTGGAGTTCAGCGGGGATAAGGGCCTGTGGAGGCCCCTCCCTCGCCCTGGGCCTGGCGTGGGGAAATGTCAGAGTGCCCTCTCCCACTGCCCACGACGCCCAGACACCAGGGCAATTACCGCCTCCCTGCGGCTGAGTTCCCAGGCTGCTGCTGGGCCTGGTCCTACTCCTTCCAAGCCAAAGGGTGGTGTTGCTGGCATGACGTGGCCCTGGTGGCCTGGCCTGCTCCTCCCTTCCAGGCCCTGCCCTCCTCTCTGCAGGCCTTAGTCACCTTCTCCTTTGTGCCTCTCCAATGGCCGCCTCCTCCAGGAAGCCCTCCTGGTCCCGCTGTTTGGAGACCGGCTCTCCTAGCACCATGGCTTCACAGGCCTGGAAGGGCTTGGAGGCCCAGGAGGCCAGGAGAAGAGGGCTGCCCCTGTCTTCCCTTCTTGGGCAGTTGGTCAGCTGAAGGCCAGTCCAGCCCTCAAGCTTTCTGGCCCTGCGACCGGGAATGCCTGGAAGGAGCCCAAGCCTAGCACAGCCAGCTCACAGGAGCACCCTGAACCAGCCAGCGTGTGCCTGCTCTGTGCCAGCTCAGGGCAGGGCCAAGCCTGGCACAGGACTCCTGGCCTCCAGAAGGACAGCTGGGTCCAGACGGGCCGGGGAGAGTCCTGGGTTCACTAGCTGTGCCCACTCAGGAAGCCTGTCCAGGGAGGGCGGCCAGGCCCTCCTGTGCTCTGCTCCCCTGCCCCCCCATTTCCGTCCCCAGGCGGGCCTCCTGACGGGCTGGCAGGGCCTTTGTCCACACCTCCGCACACGCCCTGCCTGGAGTGCAGACACCCGCCTCCTTCAGTGTGATCCTGCCGTGTCTGAGCCGGGCTGAGCCAGGCCGTCCCCCACGCGCCCAGCTGGGCCCGGGCTGGTCAGCAGGGCCCGGTGCAGGGCTGGGTGTGGGCAAGATTCTCACCTGATCCCTCTTGCTGCCACCCCCTCAGGTCCCAGGCTGCCTGGTCCGCTGCCCACCCACTAGGCAGCTCAGCAGCCTCCCAGGGAGGAGGGCCTGCCCGCCCTTCCCCAGCTGGCCCCCCGCACCCCCCCCATGCAGCATCACCTGTGTCTGAGGCCGAGACAGCCTTGGTCAGCATGCTGTCGGTGACCACGTTGAGGGTGCAGAGGCTGAAGACCAGGCCAGGCACCAGGAAGCAGAAGTGGAGGACAGTGGACATCAGCGCCTAGCAGGGGCAATGGTCAGGGTCACACTGAGCAGGGGCTGCACAGGGCAGGTGGGCCCTCGCTGAGGACGCACCTGCTCCTCTCTCTCCGCCCTGACTGCTGCCCCCTAGAGCTGGGCTGGGGAAGAGGGGGCCAGAGGGCCGGCGTGACGTGGCTGGAGGTAGACCCGGGGGCTCGGGCACAGACAGGGCACCAGGAGGGGCCTTGCCCAGGTGCAGAGGGGCAGAGAATTGGCCTGGGACCCCCTATTTTGTGGGGAGATCCAAAGTGGGCACTCTTACCATGGCCAGTCCCACCACCATGAAGACCAGCACGCTGGCCCGGAGCAGGGCTTCCTCGGAGAAGTGACTGCTTAGCCGCCCGATGACCAGGCCCTGGACCACCTAGGCAGGGTGGGGGTAGAGGCGGACATGGGAGAGGGCCAGAGGATCTGGACTG